GGATCGAGGTCTGGCTTAATGATGAGGAGGAATTGATGCTTCTCAAGGAAAATGTACCGGATACATTGAAACGGGGTGATCCAAGTTCAATAAGGCCAGGTTCACCGATGCCCGGTTCATGTCTAATTGATTCCAATTTAGAAGATACGCTGTTAAGAGGCTGCATACTTTTCACAGGAGTTTTAAAAGCTTGAGGCTTCTCGATCGTCAATAAAACACTCTCTTTTTGAGGTGATTGTAAAAGATGAATCGCCTCGGCAAGACTGCAGGTGCTCAATGGGACACCATCAACGGCAAGCAATAAGTCACCAGGGCTAATAACACCGCAGCGAGAAGCTACTCCCCCTGGGATCACCTTACTGATCAGCAACGGCGCTCCGGGGTGCTTGGATAATGATGCTAAGAAATTATATGAGGGGTTTGGAAACAAGCATGAATAGTAAAATTGCAAAATTATTATTTTCGTTGAACAAGTCTTAATAAAAAGAAAGAGCAAACTTTTATTCATCAAGTTTATATCTTAAGTACATTTAAATGAAGTGCAAATTATACTCAAATATGGACTACCTTGCTTTACATTAATCCACCGTTATATGACTATAGAGCTAATGTTCATTGCTAGGCCAATCATGCCATACAACGATGACTAATTCTAATTTGCTCGAAGGAATCTTAGATATCCCATTCTTAACTTTCGTTTAAAATGTGCTGAGTATTCATCTTACCTATTACAGACATCTAACAGTGGCCAAATTATATAAAATTAAATGACTCGTCACAAATTTTACGTTTACTCCTAAAAAGTTCTTGCGAAGTATACAACGATTTCATTATTGCATGTTCATATTCATCTAGTTGTATGCACGTCTGGGTGCAAGTGAACGTATTAATAGGAGTAATTAACTGTCAGTGCTAAATAAAATAAATTAGGGAAGCGCGAAATCGTTTTTATGCATTAAATTTTAATAATAATTTTTTACTTATGTAACTATATAACCATGATTTTGTAATCTAGAATTTGTACCTGGTTGAGTAAGACTATGATAACTTGATATTAATGCACAAGTTACGTCATAAACATTTGTAGATGGTTGAAACCAATCAATAAGACCTGTGGTGACAATAAATCTCATCTCTCTCTTACCAGAGTCTCCCTCTTGCACAGTATGATTCGCCTCCTACCTTTCTGGTTCAAGCAGTTCACTCAACCCCTTCCAACCTTTCTGTACTACTTGAAGCAATATTTCCCACAGTGTCTCTATCCCTTGATGGTACGCATACTCCCGCCTTGCTTAGTAGGCTCCAAAAATTAGGATTCTCAAATTAGATAGGACAATGGCATAAGGCCAAATATCCTGAGTAATTTTCATCGTCAAGCTTTTGCTTTATGGATTACGTCTATGATAAAACACGTCTACTAATAGCCAACTGGTTTTAGTCTCCGCCGAATCGATCGTGCTTCTGTAAATAGTGCCAAGTTTATGAGTTCCTATGCCCTAGTCTCTTGTGTGCAAATCCACAAATGTTGCGATTCTACATCAAACGTAATCAGAACAAATATAACTACGTCACAAGAGACTAGGGTCTAGGAAGTCATGGACACGGCACTATGGATAAAAGCCTGATAGATGCGTCTAAGACTAGAGCTAGTTGGCTATCAGTAGATGTGTTCGATCATAGACGTGGTCCATGAAGCAAAAGCTTGACGATAAAAATTACTCAGGATCTTTGGCCTTATGCTATTGTCCAATCCAATTTGAGAATCGTGATTTCTAGGAGCTTACTGAGCGAGGCGGGAGTATGCGTACCATCAAAGGATTGATACAATGTGGGAAATAACGCTTCGAGTAGTACAGTAAGGTTAGAAGGGTTCGAGTGAAATACCTGAACCAGGAAGTTAGGAGGCGGATTCTACAGGGCAGGAGGGATATTCTGATAAGTCCTATTAGAAGAGGATTGCGGGGTGAGGGGGTGACAAAGCCAGAGTAGGATTTGAAGAGTTCTTATGATATCCGCTATAACTGGGCATACTATGCCACATTTAAATACGAAATTGTGATAGTGGAGAGGTGATAAAGGATATAGGATTGTTGAATAGACAAGGGCACAAAGATAGATATCACATTAACGTATGGTTCTAATGAATTTACATTTATTTTCAATAAAATTATTTACGTATTAAGGTAAAATATTTTTACAAATTTTTTGAGCAATAAGACCTACTTGTTATAATTTCTTACTCAATATGAGACAGAAATCCAGGCATTAAACGTTCTGGAAATGTGGCTGCTTATGTAATTATTTTACAAGTATGTTATAGTCTCCTATATGTTTGAATAAGAAATTCGAACGTCTGCATTAAAAAAACTCAGTATTGTCCACTAAAGTTATAATTGATCAGTAACTAAGCTTATCCTTACTAGGTCTATCTTTGCTTCGTTTGTTGTTCGCTTCCTTCATTTCTAAATTTCTTAAAGCAACACTAATATCCTAATAATATTGCGTTTCCATAACTAGAACTACTTTTCCATCTACTTTATTCACTAAATCCTTCACTGCATTTTGTGACTTAGGGAAATGAATCCGGTCTCCTGGTTAAAAAGAAGATTGTCCTATCCTAGTTTAACTCCTGATTGATTTGTGAAATCTGTCAATACTTATTTAGGCGATGTTTTAGCCAATCCCCTCGATAACTCATAAAGTTACCCATCGATGAAATTCAGTAAATATTGAGTAAAGTAAAAATTTAAGAAATTTTAAGAGATTTGACTTTACGAGATAGAGCCTTTTTGCTTTCTTTGAAGTGAAAATTTGGATGATGAACGTACCAAGTCCACAGTCCGACTCTGGACATTAACGTGCATACTCTGGACTCCAAACAAGGTGACTTACTCTAGGTCTTACTGACAATGTGACCAAGTTACGAAAATAAGGCCAAACGATTGCTAAGTTAATAAAAACCTGAGTAGAGTAATAAGCCTTTACTCACAAATCTGTTATGTTATTAAATAGATACTAGTAAGATAGTATGAAGATGCCTAAACAAGCTATTCGTAGGTAGATTTTACTGAAATAAGAAGAAAGTTTACCCTTGGTTGTGCGATTGAGTATTCAGGAAGGTTCACTGTGATGGAATTCTAAAAATCTATTTTTTGGATAAGGTGACGAAGTACTGAGATACAGTCCGTTATATAACTGAAAACATCAGAGTAGGACATCACTTTCAAAGCAAGTCTAAGACAGAACAGTTGAAAATAAGGATGGATCATCTCTGTATACAGCAAATAGTTCTACAAAAATATATTTTATTTCCTAAAATACGCGAGTTCACAAACTTGAAAGATAATTAAGACAGAGTTTTTAAAATGTCAAATTAATTTTAAAGATAATATATGCATTTATAATCTTTAATTTTCCTATATTATAGGACGGAGTTGTCAACTAGTTAAATATCTGACAAGGCTCAAGAAAAGCATTAACAGACTACACGAACTAATTAGAACCAAAACCAGGCTTATAAATTCTCTTTCTGAAGTTCCGTCGGATATGAATTTCCTTAAGTTACAAGATATGGCTGACGGATTAGGAAGGGTCACTAACAGTATACCCCGAAAGATACATGATAAGAAGCTCCGGAACTTAGGAATTAGAATAAGATCGAGAAATTTTGCGCCTAAGGCATGTCGTAGTAACGATGTTTGTAACAAACTGGGAAAGAATAAAGTAATTAACTTATCCAGTATAACTCTGGAGGATAGTGTGGAACTTTGATTGGAAGGGGATTGAATGTAGTTCTTCCAAATAAGGAAAACCATTGTCTGGACATACTTATTGAAGTAATTTGCTTATCTGAAAGATTGCATGATAGGGTGAGGGATAGTATTGAGCTGGAGATGCTTCCTCATCTTGAACATATAATCACGCCAAAGAAAACTTGAGTTCTTAGTAGAGTTACTACTTATTTATGTAGCAATAATCTAGCCGTTGTGAAAGCCGACAAAGATGGAGCAGTAGTAGTCCTGGATAGGTCAAGTTATATAAAAAAAATGCAACTCATTTAAATGATACTAACATATATATGCCTTTGATGAGAGATACAACAGAAAAATTAAGACCAATCTAAAGGACACCCTTAAGGTATGCGTATTTAATGGTGAAAGGGAGAAGTGTAAAATGAACTCACTACTTCACAGAGAAACGAAGGCCCCCAAG